ATTGTTAAAGATAGTACCATTCGTAGTAATCTGCAACTCTCGAATTATTTTTTCTAATGCCAGGTTAAATAAGAGACACGATAGTCCATCACCCTGTCTTAGTTCATTTTTGCAATGGAAGGGTCTTTAGAGATCGTTTTGGATTTTTACCATGCTCTCTACACCTGTGAGTATAAGTTCAGTTAACCGGACAAGATCAAACGGAATGCGAAATTCTACCATAGCAAGTAGAAATTTATTTCTATTAACGGAGTCGTATGCGGCTTTGAAGTCAACAAATATGTGGTGGGTGTCGACGCCGAACTCTAGGATTTTTTCAAGGATCTGCCTTACTGTAAATATCTGGTCCGTTGTTAATTTATTAGGTCGGAAACCGCACTGATATCCTCCCACTATTTGTTCGGCGTAAGGGAGGAGTCTTTTGTACAATACCTTGGACAACACTTTATATGCCATATTGAGTAGAGTGATGCCTCAATAATTATCACACACCATCATGTCTCCGTTTTTGTGTATAGGACACGGTACACCTAACTTCCAGTCTGTGGGTATTTCTTTCTGTTGCCAAATTGCAGTTATCAGTTTATGCATGTGTTTCATGAGGGTGTCGCCGCCAATTTTGAAAAGTTCGACAGGGAGATTATCCGAACCGGGAGCTTTATTATTTTTCAGTGTTGCGATGGCCTCTCTAATTTCTTCTTCGGGTGGGGGGGGGTGTGTTATAAAGGGATAATTAGATTTATTTTGTTGTGTCAATGGACATAAGTGTATTTATTTTGGAAAATCATTGTAACATCAAATAAAGTTGGCAACTGGAGGTGTTCTATAAATAACAGTCAATCCCCAGAAATTAAAATTTTGGTAATTAACATAATTTCTTAAACTTATGATTGAAAATTATCGGTACATTAATCTCCATTTTTCTCAAAACTTTAATTTCTTGACTTATAACTTTTTGCACAAACACTAACGAATTAAACTTAAACAATTGTTGCATACAATTTTGATTGTATGTAATTGTAAAGATCGAGCAGCTTCGTAAGAATGTCGTATTTTTAGCTTTGTTAGGGAAATTTCAAGTCTAAGGTGGATGTTCTGGAAATTATAATACAAATGACGTCACTTTGTATAAATCGTGACGTGAAACGTTTTTACTTTGAGAAATGGTATAAGCGTAAGGTCCTTAAAACATGAATTTGAAGGTATTTGCTAATAATCGATCGATTTTAGTTGGTAAAATTATATAAATACTGTTCTTTCCGTTTTCCAGAACTCTTCATTGGCGAGTTGAGATTAACACTATTGACTATTTTCATCAAAAATTGTTTATTCGATATCCAATTATTTATTAATCATTAATAAAATATTTTATCGCAGTAACCATATTTTAGAAACATGGTCACAAACACGATACACTTATACCGGTATGCCGACGCGCATCTTCAGTGACGTCACATCGATGCAAATCCTAAATCCTACCACATCCTACGTTATTTAATGTTGGTTAGGTTGAGTGTTTTTATTTTTAATTTATCCCATTGTGGATTTACTAATTTACAATTTTTAAATCAAATACAGTTGTAAATGAAACGGCGATATTGAGATACAAAAATACTTTTGAAAGAATTTATAAAAATGAAATTAAAAAAAAATTCAATAATATTGGAATTTAAGAATATTTATTTCAATATAGAAAGCACTTTAACAGAATAATGTTTTCTGTTACTGTTACTGTCGTCAAGCTTGGTAATGAAGTAAATATACCTTATGAAGTTATTAATGCCTTAGTCATACCAGAAGCTACATAAGATTGAGAGAAATTAATAAGCAAATTAGTTTTGACAATTGTAAAAGAAAACTGGAAATAAAAATGTTAAAATTTACACACCGTAAAAAAAATAAATAAATACCTAGTATTTAGTATTAAAACATTATTGTGTTAAAGTGCTTTCTATATTGAAATAAATATTCTTAAATTCCAATAACATTGATTTTTTTTTAATTTCATTTTTATAAATTCTTTCAAAAGTATTTTTGTATCTCAATATCGCCGTTTCATTTACAACTGTATTTGATTTAAAAATTGTAAATTAGTAAACCCACAATGGGATAAATTAAAAATAAAAACACTCAACCTAACCAACATTAAATAACGTAGGATGTGGTAGGATTTAGGATTTGCATCGATGTGACGTCACTGAAGATGCGCGTCGGCATACCGGTATAAGTGTATCGTGGTCACAAATAAGCTTTTAAAAACAATAAATCTATTTAATATTCCTGAGTTTTAAGGAGGTACAAGTGTTTTGCGGATATTGATACTGATTATAAAATATCTATAAAAGATTGCTGATAAGTGAAAAATTCATAAAATTTCGACTAGGGGAAAGGCACCGAATTTGAGACAGGCGCCTAATTTGAGACACCGTCGTATATTTGTGTACGATAGTGTGACATCTAGTTAAAATATTAAAAACTGATCATTCTGTGAAGTAATGGTAGATCTGCTTTTAGTTGACGCTTAGAAGTGACCTTTGTTGTTTTGTCGACGGTAATTTGATTTACACATTACACAAATTTTTTTCGGAATTTTTAAAAACTTACAATACATCAAGGTAAGATGATTACATTTACTCCAATTATTTTTTTTTGTTAGTTTAATATTAGTTAATACATTTTATGCAAATTAAACGATAATTGTGTGTCATACATAACCAAAAAATATGCGTTTTATTTTTAACGGAAAAATCCTAATTTGAGATACCTGTAGGTTCCAAATTTGAGAGTGTCTCAAATTAGGACCCCTTGTAAATTTTTTATTTTTATGTGTTTTGTTGTTTGTAGATGCCGCCAAAAAATAAAAAATGGAACGCAGATAATATGATACGTGCTGTAAATACAGTAAGAAATAGAGAGATGGGCTATTTGAAGGCCTCAAAAGTTTTTGGAGTACCAAAAGGTACCTTAGAACGATATGTGAAATCAGACAAGACTCCAGAAGAACTTGTCGGGATATCAATTGGGCGCCGACCTATTCTTCCTTTGGAATTAGAAAATGAGTTGGTTGAGTATGCCCTAATTATGGAGCAACGTTATTTCGGACTAAGAGCGCGTGATATAAAACGACTGGCATTTCAACTTGCAATACGAAACTCAATAGCACATCCATTTAGCGGAGTCAAAAAAACAGCCGGAAAGAAATGGTTAAGGCTCTTTCTGAAAAGACATCCGGCGCTTTCAATGCGTACTCCTCAGGGAATGTCATGTGCACGAGTAAAATCTTTTACTCCTGAAAATGTATCCAAGTTCTTTGACCTGTATGAACCAGAATATCTTAAGCTTACTAACCCTGCACAACGTATATTCAATGTAGACGAAACGGGCCTTACAATTGTTCAGCACAAACATAGTAAAGTAATTTCCATGAGAGGGAAGAAGCAGGTTTCGTCACTTACTTCAGCAGAAAGGGGCAAGCTGATTACTGCTATTACATGTATGAATGCTGCAGGAGTTTTCGTACCACCATTATTAATCTTCCCCAGAAAAAATATGAAATCAGAGTTGATGCTAGGAGCTCCCATTGGAGCAATCGCAGAATGCCATGTGTCAGGTTGGGTACAGGCCGATATTTTCACTAGATGGCTTCAACACTTCATAAAATTCACTAAACCTTCAGCTGCAGACCCTGTTCTTCTCGTCCTTGATGGTCACTATTCTCATACGAGAAACGTTGCTCTAATAGATTTGGCCAAACAGAATCATGTGACGATTATTTGCCTCCCACCACATTCTACACATAAAATGCAACCGTTGGATGTTGCTTTTATGGCACCGCTGAAAACTTACTATGCACAAGCAATAGAAAACTGGCTTAGAGAAAATCAGTTGAGTGTTGTGTCGCCTTACGCCGTTGCCAGTATTTTTTGTAAAGCGTATAACAAAGCTGCGACGATGGAAATATCTTGCAATGGTTTCCGCAAAACTGGACTGGTCCCTATTTGTCGCCATATTTTTAGGGACTTTGAATTTGGAATTCAAGAGCACTTAGAAACACAAAACGAAAAGGATGAACAAATAATAGAAATAAACCATGAACAAGCAAATCATCCAATACAAGAACATAGAACTCCTAGTCCACCACTACCTCATCAACAACTTGTTTCTCCGAAAGACATCTGTCCAATTCCTAGATTCTACGAGAAAGATACAACTAAAAAACCACATGCCAGATCAGGAAAGGCTTCAATAATTACTTTAACACCCTACAAAGAAGAATTAGAGCAAAGTTTGCAGAAGAAAAAAGCAAAAAAACTAGTACCCCAGCTAAACTTGGATTGTGTATTTGCTCCAGAAAAAAACAGTTCAACAAAAGGTGTTAGATCAAAAAAAAACAGCAATGCCCGAAGAAGAAATAGCAGATGAAGACGTAGATCAACCTTCTACATCAAAAGGCAAAACATCAAGAAGGAAGCGGAAAGTTTCTTCGAGTTCAAGCTCAGATAGCAGTGAAAACTTTCCATTAGCTGATTCATCGTCCAACGAAAGTGAAGAAAACGACGCGGAATGTTTATTTTGCACCGGCAAATTTTCCGACGATAGATATGGCGAACGATGGGCAAAGTGTTACCAATGTGGCAGGTGGGCACATGAAGACTGTGGAGAAATAAAGTCCAGCACATTTATTTGCCTTTTCTGCGAAGGAAAGGGCTTTTTTGAATAGTATCTCAAATTAAGGTACCTGTCTCAAGTTTAGATACCTGACTATCCCAAATTAGGGCACCTTTTATTTTTAATATTAAATGTCGCAAAAAAATTAAATGTATTTTTTTGCAAAAATATATGTTTTATTCGCTTTTTTTTTGTTTTGTTGTGTTCTAGAAACATTAAGTTTAAGTTTTCGAAATGAATGTTTTAAAAATTTTAAATATTCTGTTTTATATTTGTTTTTCAAAAAAAGTGTCTCAAATTTGGTGCCTTTCCTCTATTATCAATTTGAATACAAAGTGATATAGTTTTAAAACCAACAACTACAATTATGTTTTTAGTTTACAACATCTTACCCATTTTAATCGTAGTATCCATAACAGCTAGTGATATATGTACCATTTCAAACTATGATCAAGTAGACGAAGCCCTTAGCAGTTGTAAAGATATAGTTATTTCAAATTTAACAGTACCGAGTGGAAAAACGTTAAACTTAAATTTAAAGGAACGTTCGACAGTTACGTTTGATGGTGTCATTACTTTTGAGGTATCTTTCAGAACAGGCTTTCTAGTGTCGATTACGGGAGAAAACGTTTTGGTTCAAGGAGCTCCAGGTATATACAATATAAATTAATAATACTTAAAGCATTTTTTTTTGATATACATTTATTAATATCAATTTATTTTTATAATTTATAGCAATATATCTCGTTTATCTTCTATAGTCTGTCTATAGCTTTAATATCATTCTTATGGAGGAAAGGAGCTAGGCGTTTATCCAGAGATGGATATTCTTATATTATTAGATAATAGATCTCCTATCTGTATTATATTTATCTTTCTAATCAATTTTCCCAATAGACAAACAAATTTGTTGAGAAACTATTAGCATTGAACACAGTTCGTTTTTGGCAGTGGTCAGGTAAAGTTCTTATCAGTGCGTGAACGAGTCTTCATTAAGTGTTTGTTTATTTGTTTTTGATTGTTATGATCGGGGATTCGGACGGAAGATATGAACCTCCTGATAGGGGAAAAAGTATAATTATAGATGAAGTGAATATGGAATTTAGCGGAAATGGGAAAAGCGACGAAACAGGTGGTATTGAAAAAATAATAAAACAAAAAAATAAATATAGTTCAACGGACCAAGGTCCATATTATGTATTTGTGCAAAGTAAAGAAGGAAACATAGGTAAGTTTCATAAAATTTCTACTGCAAGATTAATTTTAAACGCAGAACCGGAGATCAGGGATAACATTTTAAATATTTCTGTAACTGATAGAAATAAAGTTAAAGTCGAATTAAATTCATTCAATAGTGCCAACAAATTAGTCGAGTCTAAAGTATTTCAGGAAAAAAATTACGAGGCTTATATACCCACTTTCTTTACATATAAAAAAGGTGTAATAAAAAGTATTGACAAGGATATCAAAGACGATGATTTATTAAACATAATTAAACCTAAATATGGAAATAATTTTAAAGTTTATGAAGTAAGGAGAATAAAACGAAAGGTAAATGGTGAGTTACTCCCGACAATGGCAGTTATTGTTACTTTTAAGGGGCAAATGATACCTAAACAGGTAGTAATAGAAAAAATTATTTACGATGTAGACATATATGTTCCACGAGTAATTCAATGCAGACAATGCATGAGGTACGGTCACGTTAATGCACAATGTAGAGGTAAAGTTCGATGTGGAAAATGTGGCAATGAACATGAAACAAATTCTTGTAATTCGCAATTGACATCCTGTATATTACGCAAAGGAAATAATGAAGCAACGGATAGGAAAAATTGTGAAGAATTTCATCGTCAAAAACAAATTAAAACATATATGGCCACAGAAAATTTATCATATAGTGAGGCTAATAAAAAATATGATCATAGTTACGCAACGGTGACAAAGAACGTAAATAAAAGCACTCATTACTCAGTACCAGTTAAACGCAGACGAAATTTAGAAGGTTATCCTAATTATCCCCGTTCAGGATATTCCGACGAGCATAAGGAGATCAAAATATCAAAATATAAAACGGTATATCAAAATTATAGAAATATCCCTAACTATTCCCAATCAACAATGAGCTCAAATTTAAATAAAAACTGTAAAATAAACTCTGTTTGTGATATTATTATAAGCACTTTTAAAAATTTATTAAAGAATAACTCAATAACTTTAGACAATATAAAAATGTTTCACGATTTTAAAAATAATTTAAGTCGTATTCTCGCAGATAATGAATAAGTTCAAAATTGTACAGTGGAACGCTAGGTCCATTGTACACAATAAAGGTCATTTTGAGAAATTTATTTTTGAAAATAATATTGATATAGCTATAATTAGTGAAACGTGGTTAAAAGAAAAAAATAATATTAATTTCAGTGGTTATAATATATTTCGGAGAGATAGAGATGATGGTTATGGAGGATTAGCTATTTTAACTAAAAAATTCATTCAGTTCACAGGTCATCCAAATCATCATAAAATCAATCAGGTTATGAGTATGTCAATAACAGTCAAATTAAAATCAAATAAAGTTCTTAATATATATTCAGTGTATGCAAAACCAAATTTAAACGTATCAGAGAGTGAATGGAAAAAGTTTTTTAATAGTTTAAGTACACCATTTTTGGTGGCAGGAGACTTTAATTGTCACCATAATGCATGGGGTTGCGATCAGAATGATAGGGCTGGACTTAGTCTATTAACAGCAATAGAAGACTGTGAGTTATGTTTTTTAAATAATGGGGCCGAAACTATAATACCTAGATTATACAGTAGAAATAAATCAGCTGTGGACATAACTATATGTTCCAGTGACATATCTTCCTGTTTTGATTGGATCGTAAAAAATGTAGCTCTAGGTTCTGATCACTTTCCAATAATAATTGAAAGCGATGTTGATAGTATAACAATAGTTAATGAGAGAACCCGATGGAACGTGAACAGAGCAGATTGGTCGTTATTTTCTTCGATTCTTGAAACTATTGACACCAAAGATATAAATACTGATGAAAATATTAATAACATATATAATACATTTATCAATATAATTAATGATGCTTGTGAATTATCAATACCTAAGAAAAAAATGACGATCAATAGTAAGTTTAATAAAAAATGGTGGAACCCAGAATGTGCACAACCTATAAAATTTCAGCAAGAAGCTTTTTTAGAATTTAAACGAAATAGTACATATGAAAATTACATAAAATATCAGAAAGCAGAGGCAATTAAGAAAAAAACAATATTAAAAAGTAAAAAAGCTTCTTGGCGAGAATTTTGTAATAAATTAAATAAAAATACTCCGGTCCAAGAAATTTGGAAAGAAATTTAAAAAATCAAAAATACTTATAATGTCCCAAAAAATCAAGTAAAGAATGATAATTGGACTGAAGAATTTTTAAATAAGTTAGCTCCGCCCTGGGTTTCACCAAATTTAAATGTAAACCATCCTAAAAAAGTGAATAATAATAATTCAAACTATTTGTTAAACGAATTTACTCTAAAAGAACTAGAATATAGTTTAAAGTGTCATAAAAATACTGCTCATGGCTTAGACAATGTCCATTATATTATGCTGTATTACTTACCAAGATGTCAGAAAATAAAATTGTTAAATATAATTAATTTAATATGGATGAAAGCTGAATTTCCGGATTCATGGAAGAATTAATTATGTAATTATACCGATTTTAAAACCAAATAAAGATATAGACTCAGCGGATTCACATAGAGGAATTTCGTTAGGATCGTGTATTTTAAAAACATTCGAACGGATGGTAAAGAGAAGACTTGAATTATGGTAAGAGAAAAATAACATAATTAGTGATACACAATATGGGTTTCGTAAACTAAGATCGACATCAGAAAATATAGCTAACCTTATCCTAGACATTAATATATCCTTTTCTGAACGTAAATCCCTGGTATCTCTATTCATAGATGTAGAAGGTGCATATGATAATATCAAATTAAATATCCTCTATCAACAAATGGCAACATATAAAATATTGACATCAATAATAAAAAAGAGGTTATCAAAGATCACAAAGAAGACAGTAGGACAGTACCAATGTGGATTCACAGAAGGAAGATCTACAATAGATGCAATACACACAATAAAACAAATAATGGAAAAAGCAAACGAGTATAAATTAGAATTGGAAATGTTATTCATAGACTTCAAACAGGCATTTGATTCAATTAAAAGGAACGTATTAATGACAGCACTTAAAAAATTAAAAAATTCCACATAAAACTCAGAAAATTAATAGAAATGACAATGAGAACTACAAAAATAAGCATAAAGACACAAAGAGGAGAGACAGAAGAATTCAGTATAAATAAAGGAATGAAACAAGGAGATGCCTTATCAACAACGCTATTTAATCTAGCATTAGAATATGTACTGCGAAATATAAATAAAGGAAATCTCAGAACAAGAGGTGGTCAAATAATTGCATATGCAGATGATATTGCTATTATTGCAAAGAACAGAAAAATAATGAAAGAAATGCTTGAAGAAATAAGAGAGAAAGGGGAGGTAATGGGGCTAAGATTAAATCAAGAGAAGACAAAAATTTTAAGATTAGGGAAAAAACCAATGAAGGAAAAAATCAAAATAGGAAGTTCCGAGTTTGAAGAAGTAGAATACTTCAAATACCTAGGAGTTACAATAAGTAAATCCGGAGAAAGGAAATCCGAAATAAAAGAAAAAATATTAGCAGCGAATAAAGCTTATTTTGCAAACAAAAAATTACTTAAAAGCAAAACACTGACTAAAAAAAGCAAGATGAGCATTTATAACACCATAATTAGACCAATATTATTATATGCAGGGGAAACAATGACGATGGTTAAAAAAGATGAAGAAGACTTAAGAATTGCAGAGAGAAAGATTATGAGAACCATACTAGGACCAATCAGAACAGAGCAAAATGAATATAGAAGCAGAACAAATGCAGAAATTAAAGAAGAACTTAAGGAAGACATCGTAACTAAAATAAAGCAATGCAGAGTTAGATGGTTAGGTCACATTTGGCGAGCAGGCGATGAGGCAGTGACATATGCAATGATAGAATGGAATCCAGGAGGAAGAAAGAGAAGGGGAAGACCGAGATCAAAGTGGCTGCAAGAAGTTGAAGAAGACCTCCAAAGGGCAGGAGTCAGTGAATGGAGAGGAAGAACTAGAGACAGGAAAAAATGGAGAGATATTGTCAAGAAGATAAGATAAACAAAAAAAGACTGATCCACTTAAGAAATAGGATCTAGAAAGCATTTGCGGTTTAACCCTACGATGGGGTGTATAGCCATTATATATATATCAACAAATGAAGAAGATAGGAATACCCAGTGACTTTGGTAAAAGAATAATAAAATTGTATTCAAATAGGAATCTACAACTTCAAATCAATAATGAACTATTGGATCAAAGAATTTCTAATGTTGGGTTACCGCAAGGAAGCATCCTTAGTCCTTTACTATATCTCATTTATACCTCAGACTTACACAAAAAAATTAATACAAGAGGAAATGTTCTACAGTTTGCTGATGATGTGTGTATATATGTACCTAAAGTTGAAATCGATCAAGGTATCAATATAAT